ATAGCAATGTGACTCTGAAAAAAACACCCAGCCGAGCACCATCCACGCCAAAAACCGTCAGCCTGCTGCCAACATCCAGAAAACACAGCCCTCTCATCAGCAGCTTTCCAGTACAGCAGGAGCAGCACAAGGCTGAGTAGTCTAAAATCCAGCATGTAATGACTTTAATTTTTCTTCCTCCCAGGAGAGGAGGATATCAGGTATCCACAGATGCTTCGCTTCCCCGTCTGAACAAACTGTGCAACGGATCCAAAAATATGACAGCTACAACTTTTACTGCTGAGGTTACTATTGGCAGTGGTTATCTTGCTGGAAAGTTATTACTTGTGACAGCAGCAAAATGGAGGTTCTAAGGAAGAACATCAATCAAATCCCAAGCACTTTTAGTACCAACTTAATCATCTTAAAACTACCTCCTTATTTTAAAACGTCATTTTTCTTCTTTTCAGATAAAACATATTAGGCCACCACAGAAATCAGTTCATATTCTTCTCCTCACCGTGCATGCTCCCAGACCACAAAAAGAACAAGTATAGTTAATTGCAAGTTTCGAGCTGTTACTGCAAGTGCATTTCAAAACAAACAAACTTCCTCAGCTCCCTCTAAGCCCTGCAACATCAGCAAACAAATCAGAAACTCCCCCACAATACACATGGGCTTCGAAGGTCACACTCTGCAGCTCAGCAAGCCTAAGGAGCCCGAATCCTCAGATTACCCTGAATCCAGAGGGGCCACATGGGAGCCAAGAACTGCCACGACTAAGGCCAAATGCACAAAATTAACCCCAACAGGCATTTTGCTCTCACTTGTCGAAGCTGTCGCTTGTTTTAATGAAGAAGTCCAATTTCTGCTTCGCGTATTCGATCACGTCCGAGTGAAGCTCCACGCCGTGGTTAACACCAAAGGGACCTGCAAATGTGCAACACCAGGATAAAGGTAACAGGCAACACCACGAAATCCAGCAGGATTAATACAGTTTGGGTTACTTCCTGGAACAGATTTTCCAGTGAGTGTCAGACAGTCAGTGTTTGTGTAGAGTCAGCTCTCTTAGCACTACAATGGGAATTGCAACCCTATACCTGCAATTTCTGGCAGCAAATGAGCCTGTCTTGCACAACTGATTCTGACTCATTTGCTCTCAACTATGCAGGAAACTTCTCCATAGCACTGCTGCCGTTGTTGTAAAACCTGGAAAAAAAATTCCAAGGCAGAACAACTGCCTGCATGTTTTAATACATCCCTAAAAATTTTTCATATTATTTTTATACCCCCTTGTTGATATGTCAAGGAATCAGGAAAAATCATCATCCACTGTACTTCAATTAACAGCAAAAATAAACTGGGAGATACAGAAGTTGTTCTGCACTTGTGGTTTTTATTCAGAACTGACAGGGTAATTTTTGCAAAAATTCAAAAGAATATAAAAGCCCTGGAGTTACATATTGATATCCTTGGTAATCTCAACAAAACTAGGAGAAAAACCACAAATGGGAGATGGGAGTGAGACTCTACCCTGAGAACAAACATCTCCGCAGTTAAAATTCTTGACACCCACTAAAGGGAAGTTTGTACCCTACAGCCATTTGCTATCTATCCTGGCAGCACAGCTCTGACTGAGACACCCCAGGGTGAATGGAAAGGGCACAACTGCACTTGGGTGATTTTCTTTGTGTCACTGTAGATGTGGTCACAAAATCAGTTTTGCTGCACTCCGTGTTTTCCAGAGAATATTCCCACCCGTCTGCTATAAGTGTCAAAAGTGGACCTCAAACATGTCTCAGTCTAAACAGCACAGTCTGAACAGAAACAGGCACAGTGCAGGTGTAGTCACAGCTTTCTGTGGACATGCTTAATCCTGGTTTCAGCTTTGTACTCCTGATCCTGATCTGGGGTCATCTTTAGAAGGAAACTAACCCAAGTTCATGTTCCTGCAGGAATCCACTACAATCACCTCTGGAAATAAATCTGTGCCTGTTCTGATCTGCCACAGAAGTCTGGATCCCACCTGGTTCCAGAGAGAAGGTTGCAAGAACCCTGATAAACAAGCTGGATTAATGCATTCTTTACTTTCCCGGCTATCTTTTAGTTCCATTACTTGAGGGATGATTCATTCCAGATTTCAAAACATGTTTTTCAAAATCTAACGCAAACAGTTAACGTGATCGAAAAGGTATTTACCCAAGATGAGTCCAACCATAGAACTCAGATAACCAGTGCCACTGCCAAGATTCAGAAATGACAGCCCTGGTTGCAGATCCAAAGCTTCCATCACCTCAGAGTAAATGCACGGTGCTGAGAGATGAATATTCCCATGCTTCCATGCCAAGTCCTTGTAGGCATTGTCTTTGAACTCTTCCAGGTAGTAATCTGCTCGATCAATGGCTCGGAAGGCCTGTTCCACCAGTTCTGTCCTGATGTACTGTGCTTCCTTCAGGTTATCAATTAATTCATCGTTATCTTCTCCCGCACTCACTGCGCCTCCCATCTTCAGCAGGCTCCTGTAGACACTAAAAGTAAAAGAATAAAGGAAGGTGAGGAACAGAACGTGCACTTCAACGCTAAATTATGCTGCTGTGTGTGAAGTACTTTGAGAGAGACCTTTTTGTACTCCCAAGGACCTCAAGCACTGGAAAAAACATCACCAGCAGCACTCCCAGCCCCCATTCCAACAATGGAAAACAAAATGCAGCAGATCTGGCATCCAGTACCTGACACTAGTGGGGGGGGGGGGAAGAAAATCACAATAGGCAATTTCAATGTGCAAGTCCTGTCTTCAAATGCTCCCAACATTTTACCAGCATGTCAGCTTTTCCACTGAACTCTTTTATATAAAGGATTATTCCAGCTCCTGTGCTCGTAGGTCATTTTTCACTGCAAGCCCAACCAACAGTACAAGTTTGGCCTGTCTGTCAGAATTCTGGCCACCAGCAGACTTTCTATCTCTAACAGCATCAATTAAGAGACTAAGACACAGGCAGCAAGTCCAGAAAAATCTCAAATTACATTTTCTTTGAACGTGCATCAGGACGTTGATTTCACAGAGGTTAAAAATGCCCAACAACTCTGATGCATCAACCTTGCTTACTTTAGCAAATAAATGCACTTTCACACAGCTCATCTCTAGAGCTTGAGCCACCCCCATTAGTAAAGCACTTAATGATACAGCAACTGCAGAGAGAATTTCCACTGCAGCCTTTGGAATTTCTTAGGTCCTCTTAAGCCCTAGATGAGCTCACCTTCAATTTGGTAACTCCTGAGTGACAGAGATCTCTGAATTACAAACACTTCTGACTTCACTGACACCATCATGGACCTATTCAGGCTTGTGGGTGTGGGGTAAGGAAAGCAAACGCTTTCCTTGACCGTGCATTACACTACACATGGTTATAATGCTTCATGTAGTTAAACAGCTACAGGTTTTAAAGGAAAAGGTATGGGGGGAGAAGAACACAGAACTTATCACTCAGAATTAACCTAGCTCTTCCCCCTTTCTCATATCTTAAGAAAAAAAAATCCTTTCCAGAAAACCCATGATTCTTTCAATGCATGTATTTACAATGCCTTTCCCTGCTCACAATAATAACCACAGAAGCAGCAACTTTGGAGTTCATTCCTGGGATCAGAAGATCTGCCTACAGCAAAATTGCTGGGAGTTTATTTGTTACATTCAGCAAGAGCAAATTATAGACTTTCATTTTCAGAGGAAACACAGAAAAGCTGCAGGACTCCAAGGAAATTTCACAGTTATTCAAATAACATGCCATTCTGATTACCTGGAGAGGCACACAAAACAGGATATACTTAGGCAGGGACCTCGAGCCAGTTTTTAATCCATTCATGCCTCAAAACACATCAATCCAGTTCAAGACCATTAATAAAACTTGAAATAAAAAGCCACCCCTCTCCTTTCGACAGTGACTCCTTCATTTTCTCTCCAAAAAATGATTGTGTTTTATTACTTCACAGTGGAAACACATCAAGTTGAAGGCTCAGGTGGGTTAATCTACCAATTATTTCTCCCCCCTCCTCTTACATACTCAAAACCTCTGTGCATTTGCACATGTAGGGTTGCCTGAATCTTTGTTCAATTCACTTTATGTAACATTCCACATTAAAACGCTCTCTTTTCTGAGGGTATTGATTCCCTTGAGTTTCCTCTACATATTTTTGTTCTTAGGCTTGCTTATTTCTGCTACTCTTTCTGCTATTAAAAAAAAAAATTGATTTTTAAGTTTAAACTAAGAATACAAAGTTGTGCCTTTAACAATGTTCCACTTTGGATCCCCAATAAATTCCTCCTGACGTAGGTGAGCCCCACTGGGGCAACTGGTCTGACCTGGTTTTAGCTCAGCTATATGAACAAGTGTTTTTCCATGTTCTACAACATGGAACACAACAACTATTGTCTGAAACATTTTTTTAACGAGATCAAGGAACGTCCGAGCTGTGACAGGCATAAAAAATAATCAGTTTTACTGGACATTAACTTAGTTCCAATAAAATTACTGTTTTATGTGCGGAACTCCTGACATTCAAATTCCTCTTAACGTAATTCTATATATTTCTTTAACTTTGTGGGAACTTTAAGACTGTGGGTAGGGCTTATTTTTAACAAACTTTTCAAAAGAAAACCCTCTCCCTCCACAACAAGCCCAGCTGGAATTTTTACGCAAAACCAAGAGATTTCCACAAATCCGAGCCAGGGACAAAGTTCACTGCTCGCAGAACACGGGACACCAAACCCAGCAGCGTTTTGGGGCTGAAACACCCCCAGGGGAAACACCCCCTTCAAGGAAAACAAAACAGAGAACGAGCAAACGAAAAAGCAGGAAACGAACAAACGGGAGAGAAAACAAACAAACATAAAAGCAGAAAACAAACAAACAAAAAAGTAGAAAACAAACAAACAAACAAAAAGCAGAAAACAAACAAAAGCAGAAAAACAAACCAAGCGACCGGCCCCACGTGAGCAACTGCGTTCAACCCGAAACCAAACCCTGGGACCGGAGCGATCCCTCCCTCCCGCTGCAAACAGACACCGCCGGGGGCTCGGGGGACGGCTCCGAACAATGCACGGGGCGCACAAACGCAATTCCTCAGCCCCAGCAGGTCTCCAGGGCAATCCCTGCTCTGCCATAACGCGCCGCAGGAAGAACAGCAAAGGTGGGGTTATTTATTGATTTAGTAAGAAAAGAGGCACCTGAGCGGACGCGCTTCGGCTCCGCTCGGCTCCGTTCGGTTCGGTTCGGCTCCGCTCGGCTCCGTTCGCGTCTTTTCGGTTCGGTTCGGCTCCGTTCGGTTCGGCTCCGTTGGTTCCGTTCGGTTCGGCTCTTTTCGGTTCGGTTCGGCTCCCCTCGGCTCGGTTCGGCTCTTTTCGGCTCCGCTCGGCTCACCCCAGGC